ATGAGGTCTTTCCTGCCAAATTAAAGTGTCACAAGTTTTTACTTTATTTGTGTGCATGTATGTGTGTACATGTGTATATGGACATTTGGAGGTCAGAGGACAATTTAGGAGAGTTGGTTCTCTCCTTCTACCTTGTGCGTCCTGGGGATTGAACTCAGGTCATCAGCTTGGTGGCAAGGTGCCCTTATCTGCTAAGCCACCTTACTGGCTATAACTGGGTATTCTAAAACTTGAGTTCAGTGCCCACTGAGCTCAGATGGAATATCATCACATTTGTAGAATACACAGCATGTTCCTTCTCAAGAATGGAGCTAGCACTCTTTCTCTGGTTAAGGATGCCCTGGCTCACAGTATTCCTTGTAACATAGTTGGCGATGAGTCTGTTTAATATAAAAATATACACATCCATAAAGCAACCATGTTAAGAATGCAATGCCTTTCAGATCTCGTGAGGAATAGTTAACTAAGACTCTTAGGAAAGTATCTTTCCTGAAGGAAGCGTGGAAAATAAGCCCCTCATGGTAATAAAAAGCCAAAAATCCTGCATTAAAAACAAAGTCTTCATTAAGGTTAGCATGTTCTTACAAAGCTGGGCAGGGGATGGATCTAGCTCTTTAGGGACCACAGAATGCTTTTGCTTCTTCAGAAAGCTCACAAAGGCCCATTACCTCCAGCATACCTACAGTGAGACACAAAGGTTTTCTGATCCACTCAAAGAGTTGGCAACTGTCCCTCATTATTTAAAAATAGGATAAAAATTAAACCTTTTGAAAATCCTAGTGTGACAGCAAAATAGAACTTAGAAGATACCCTGATAGCATATTCAGACACTTAGCAAAGTCATTCCATCTCAGCCTCAGAACAAATTCAGATTTTTTGAATATACACATACATTACTAAGAAGCCAGACCAAACCCCTCAATAGCCAGCCATTTTCCAGCAGAACTCAGAAAATATCAACATCTCCTAACATGGTGGATATTTCATGTTTTCTCTTCATATTTGGAAACCCCTATTCCAAGGTTAACAGAACTACTACAAAAAAGAAAGACCTCCAGAGTAGCATCAGAAAACCAAAAGCTATAGTATCACCTCAGAACAAAACCAGCAGCTGAACAGTGAAAGGAAAGGGCTGTAACTGCTTCTCCAAGGTGGTTTTCCTCAGTAGTATTTATGGGAGAACTGGATGTAGGTCAGACTCCAGACAGCACCAGCCTCCATCTGGGGCCTATGTTCCCATACATGTAGACCTCTCCACCCATCAAGTTCTAAGGAGACAGAGCAGGCACAGAACACCACCACTGTCTCTAAGACACCACCACGTTCCATCTGGATTTCCTTTGGCTTTTGTTTTTGTGTATACTGTCACACAAGACCCTCAACAATGACTCTGCTGGAGGACAGATATCTACAGATGAACATATAATAAACCAGGGACTACATGACTTGTCTGCTCAAGGTTCTAAGTCAGGCACTATCATAAGCCTAGCCTTCCTACTTACTGGTGAGTAAGTTTCCAGGGTACTACTTCCTTAAGTTACAGATGAGAGAGGCCAGAGTGATGTCTTAGAGCACAGCAGGACATAAGCAACATATGTTTATAACTGAAACAATTCAGGTGAAGGCAAAAGGATTAAGAGTTCAAAGCCAACCTGTATTATATAAGTTTGAGGCCGGTCAGGGTCATATATTAAGACCTTGTCTCAAAACAAACAAATAATAATTAACCAAACAAAGTACTAAATAAAAAGAGCCAGGGTTCTGGTGCTATCAGACTAGCATTCCAGTCCTACCTCTGCTACCTACTAGCTAGCTGTCTGGGTTCCTCACCTCGCCTGCAAACTGGGAGTAGAGTTACAGTGATGAAGGAGATGATGGACATAAACCATTCACATTTTCATTCAGCAAATACCTGTGCCAGGCACAGTGTAAGACTTACAGCAGTGATCAAAGATCATTCTGGTCTCACAGAGCTGAGAACTTAATCAAACTACAAGAAAAAATAAGTAAGCCGATAAATGCTTATAAAACATGCTAAAAAAAAAAACTGTTAAGATTAGCACAAATGATTGAAAACAATCACAGGTAGGGCCAGATGTTAAGAGTGGCCTCTGAGGAGAAATTTCTGTTGAGCCCTAAGGGGTCCATAGGAGCTATCTATGTGAAGAATGGAAGAACAAACATTTCTGTCATAAAGAACTCAAGATGTTCAAGGGTCACAGCATGAGGAAGGCACAGGAGCACGGAAGACAAATGTGATTGCAGTATATCCTCTCATAGGGTTTTGGAGAACAACCATTACAAGCTGCCACCACTGAGGATTACCACATCTATTTTTAAAATAACAAAGATCAGCCTAGAGAAAGGTGCTGTGTCTTGTCCAAGGTCAAAGCTACTCAGAAGAGGACCTAAGAATGGAACCCCTCAGTAGTCTACTTCCAGACACAGCATAAGCCCACAGCCTTGACTTGTTTCACTAATGACGGCTTTCTGCGCTCTGAGGAGTCCCCAAAGCACCTTGAAAACACTGTATCAGTTTCCAGGCATCTGGTCAATCAAGCTCAAAAACCCTACCGCTGGGATCTTACCATTCAAGAGCAAAAGATGCTCAGACCTAACTCAAAGACTCCAAAGTAGAAAGGGCTTCTCTTCTTGCAGCCATGAACAAGAGAGAAAAGGATGCCCCAGAAAATTCCATGGCCTGTTCCAGGAGACAGAACCACTGATGCAAATGAGCCCTCACCTCAAGAGAACAGCACAGGAAAAGCTAATTACTTTATTTGTACAAAAGAGCCAATCCCTTTAAACAGTGGTTCTCGGTCAGGCTGGTACACCCACCCCAGCAAAAGGCATCTGGGAATTTGTGGAGGCAGTTTGAGGTGAGCTGCAGGATGCCCTGAGGGGGGCATTCAATAGGCTCAAAGTCTTGCAAAAGGACAGAATGGTCCCATATACTAAAATAAATAAAAATAAGTAAATAAATAAATGTATTACCTATAATGTTAACACACACTTTAGAGACACTGAAAAGTTTAGTATCTCCAGCTTTTCTTGTATTCCTATTGTTCAGTGGTGCTCCCTACTCTCAGGCCTGAATGGGGGTGTGATGGTGGGGAAGAAATCTAAGACTTCACAGCTGAAGAGTGTGAAAATTTGGAATTCAGTTGTAAGTGCCTAACTTTGTCAGGGAATCTGGCAGTGGAACAAGGATAAAGAAATTTCTAGTAAGAGACAGACTTAAGAAATCTTGTCCAGCCGGGCGGTGGTGGCGCATGCCTTTAATCCCAGCACTCGGGAGGCAGAGCCAGGCGGATCTCTGTGAGTTCAAGGCCAGCCTGGGCTACCAAGTGAGTTCCAGGAAAGGCGCAAAGCTACACAGAGAAACCCTGTCTCGAAAAAACAAAAACAAAAACAAAAAAAAAGAAATCTTGTCCAAAAGGTAAGATTTTCTCACTCCTCCATACAAGACTTTATAAAATTAGTTGTTTGCCACACTCAAAAATCACTCTGTGATTTTAGAGAACCTATTTACACTAATTTTCAGTTTTAAAAGCGTATCAATGACAGTTTATTTACAAATGTAATCACAATCGTCTCACAAATACAGTTGGACTCCTTCTGGACTCAAACTAAATAGGAAGATTATTAATTCCAAGATGCCTAACGCAAAACCAAATGCCTAAAGGGTACCGAAGGCAGATATGCCTTGTATTTGATTTCCAACAGTTTAATTACAGTCAGAGAGACTCTAAACTAGCCACTATACCCCTACCAAAGTTATATCAAAAATTTAAGACTATGGACTTGACCAAAAGGAAGAAAAAAGAAGAGAACCCCCTAAAACCTACTGTTTTGAAATAGCTACAAGAGTAATCCCACAGGTAAATCTTTCATAATGTACCCTAAGGAGAGGAGAATGCTTTCTCCTACACAGTACCTGAAATTTCCCAACTCACCCAAAGGAGTCTGAATATGTTACCACTTCACTTGAACTGCTAATTAGCAAACAGCAGTCTCACACCCCTTTGACCAGGTTTCCAGAACCCTGCCTTGCCCTCTCAGGACAGCCAAGCAGACAGACCTGTTTTCCTCTAGAAGCGACTGCCAGGCCTTTTCTGCCCTACCAGCCAGAGCCTGGGAAATCCCCCTCCAGCCTTTTCCTGGCTTGTCACCAGAGGAGCACAGAATGAATTCATCCAGATTCTTTCAATCTTCCTCCTCCCCAGTCATGTGCCAACTGCAGGACAGTAATACTCCACCTTGCTGGTGCTTTGTTTAAAAAAAAAAAAAAGATGCAGATTCACGAGAAGATCAGGCACTTATCATGGAGCAGGAGAAAAAAGATGGAGGGATGTGAGAGTCACTGAGCCAAGTCTACTGAATGCAGCATGGGAGACCAGAACCCTGGTCCTGCAAATCCAAGGAGGGAAGGCTTTCCATATAGCAGACCACACCTGTCTAAGCCAGCCTCCTGCTCCCTTTTAAACAATTTATACAGCTACCCAGCTGGCAGGGAAAACTAGCCACCTCCCTTTCCTAGCAAGGGTAAGAACCCTAATCTAAGAACCACTTGCCCCTTAGTTTTATTTCTTTTCTCACTCTTTGTTTAGGAGACATTACCTCCCTAACCAGACAGGAAGACACCATGCTGCTGTGGCAGAAAAGAAGAGTCCAAACTGTAAGCCAGACAAGAAGACCTCTTCTCTGAGGACCACGATGCTAATAAATGGGACTTCAATGGGCAGGTTTCACTCTGCCATCCACAAGTGAACACATGCCTGTAGTCCTAAAACGCCCGGCCCCGCAGCCTGGTAGACAGCTTTTTCCCTAGGCAGTCGTTAAACCACTTGATCTTATTCATCCTCTGGCACAGGAGGAACCAAGGGAAAGGCAGGAGTTAGCTTCATACCCATAGCTTAACACACGAAGAGGTTTGGGGCGCCCCGGCGCGCCCTCCCTTACTCGCCACCCTTTAAGGCCTCTGTCACCCGCGGACTCACCACTGTGCGAGCTGAACCACCTGGGTGCGATGTGCAGAGGTAGAGCATCCGCCAGCGAGGCTCGGGAGCCCAGGTACAGCATCCCGTCTCTATGGTGACCGCCGCCTGTCTCCTGGTAACCATTGCCGTGAGCATAGGTGGAGTCCGACGTGGACCCTCCGCCGCCCGGCGCCCTCTCCGAGTCGCCGGTCCCGCGGGAAGCGGGGGTGTAGAGGCCAAAGGGCACCCCTCCGGCCGTGCTGGGGTCCATGCCCATGCCCGCCACCGAGCTGACCGAGCGGCTGCGCAGCCCCATAGCTCCGCCGCCCGTCCGGTAGTGCCCAAAGTGGGGCGCTCCTCCCGGCGGGGGCACGGCGCTGTCATCGGTAGAGACCCCCGGGAAGGGGCCCCGAGAGCGGGCCGCCGTGCTCTGCTTGCCCCCCATGTTCGCCCGGGCCCCGGTGGGGCGGGAACCTGGAGGCCTAAACCCTCCCCCACTACTCAGGAGCGGGTGGAGGGCTGGGCGAACATAAAGGTGGGGGGGGGAGGTTTACAAAAGAGCCTCGAGGGGAGAAAATGAAAAAAAAAAAAAAAAGAGAGAGAGAGGAAAAAAAAAAAACCCTCAGAAAATCCGCGGGGCGGAAAAAGCGAGCGAGCGGGGACCCCAAACTAAGAATTTCAAACAGTCCAAGACGAATGCATGTTCTCCTTAAGGTCCGAAGACGCGCGGTCCGGAGCGGGCGCCGCGCGCCACAGGCCGCCCCCGGGCTCGAGAGCCTGAGGAGCCGCAGCGAAGGGAGGGAGGCGCCGGAGGAGGCCGCCCGCCCGCCCGCCCGCCCGCAGCAGGAAGCGGCGGAGGCTCGGGGCGCCGCGCGCGTCCCCGGTCTCAGGACTCGACGACCGGGGCCGACGGCCGGGACTCCTCCAGGCCTCGGGAGGGCTCGCGGCGGTGGGGCAGCCAGGCGGAGCTCTGGAAGCCGCGGTCGCGTGGCGTCGCGCTCCGGCTCCAGCCGCCGCCGGCTCCTCCAGCCAGCCGCACCGCCCCGCTCGGTCCCGGGCTGCGCTCGCCGGCGCTCCTCGCCGCCGTGGAGACAATGGAGGGCGGCAGAGCGCACGCGCGGCCCGCGCCCCCCCCCTCCCCCCCCGCCGGGTTAACCCTTTCGCGGCCCCTGCGGCGCGGCGGACCGCTGCAGCCCTGGAGGTCCCCACCCACCCGCCGCCTGCGCCCCTGGCGGTCCGGGGACAGGAGAGCTCCAGCCGCGGGGCGTCTGCGACGGAGGCGAGACTTCTTCCGGAACCAAGCACGGCTAGAGTCGCCGCGAAAGTCGAATCCCTGTGTGCAAGAAGAATCCTTGCGTGGGGGAGGGGCGGCGACGGTTCTAGTGGGTGGGAAGGAAACTAGAAAGAAAGGAAACCAACTAATACGCCTACCTGTGTTGGAGGGTCATTGGGCGAGCTCCCCTCCCGCCACAAACCTGCCCTCACAGCACCCTCTGGCGGATGTGCTGTCCGTTCGCTTGGAGGTTCCCATCCCAGGACCCCAACCAACATTAGGAAGTTTAGCATTTTAGGGGGAGTTAGCTTGGACCCAAACATTTGGGGTTAGCTCTTAGGAGATACAACAGTGCCCTGGGGGCACATAGGAATCGGGGTTTTGCTGACAGATGAGAACCAACTATTTGAATCTAAGGAAACGAGTCGATTTCTTAGGCAAGAATGTAATCCTCAAAAATCAATAGGTGGATAAAAGCATGGAAATAGAACGATGCAGCTAAGAAGTGGTTTTAGAAACTCCTTGTCCAAGGCCGACTCCTGATTTTGTTTACCATGTATTTTGACATAGAGCCACAAGGCAAGGACACAGTCAGTACTCAATAAATATTTGTTGACCAGATTGCATTTTGTAACAGAGAATCACCTTTCCAGTTCAGTCCCAGTCTTTCTTATCTATTCACGTTCGCTTATTCATTGAACAAATAATTTTTCAAGTGCTCAGCGCTGGATGTGAGCATCACCCAGTCCCTAGCCTGACTTCCTCTGTCACTTTGTCAAGTGTGCCAGGTGCTTCCAAAAATGGGTATGGAGAGTGGAGAGAGATAAAAAAGGCTGATAGACTTGCCTCTTCAGTGTGGCTAGCCTGGAAGGCCACAAGAAGATGGCTATTTGCAAGCATAGAGTATCTGGGGGTGAGCAAAAAGCCCTGAACAAAAAAGCTCAGAGTTTTGTAAGAAAAACTAATACAAGAAATATCGGGGCTGTGGCACCATGCTTTTAATCCCAGGCAGAGGCAAGGGGAGGTCTCTGAGTTCGAGGCCAACCTGGTCTATGAAACAAGTTCCAAGAGAGCCAGGGCTACACGGAGAAACCCTGTTTTGAAAAACCAAATATAGAGTGTGTGTGTGTGTGTGTATGTGTGTGTGTGTGTGTGTGTGTGTGTGTGTGTGTGTGTGTGTGTGTGTGGAGAGATGGCTCAGGGGTTAAGAGCACTTGTTGCTCTTGCAGAGGCCCCAGGTTCATTCTCAGCACATATGTGGTGATTCACAACCATCCATAACCCCAGATCCAGGGTACCCAACGAGCATGTACATGATGCACTATATACATGCAGGCAAGGCATTCATACACAAAAAATTAAGTAAATCTAAGATTTTATAAATATATATATATCAAACACATTGAGATAATATCTATGATATTATCTGTGATATTATCTGTGTCTAAATCAGGAATATATGCACTTCTAAAACCAAAAAGAATGATCTGAAGAAATAGAAAAAGAACCTCACAGAGGCTGGAGAAGTGGCTGAATAGGAAGTATACTGCTCTTGCAGAGGACCTGAGCTTGGTTTCTAACTCTAATTCCAAGGAATCTGATGACATATTTTTGGTTTCCACTGGCATCCACACATAAGTAGCACTCACTCATGTAAACACATACACATAAATAAAAATCACAAATTATAAAAAAGGGGACATTCATCCATTTTCTTCTCAGAAGAAAGACTATGGTATCAGAAAAGGGGTAGTTCAGTACTGTACATGGAAAAAAACCTAGATTCTTGATGCATCTATTTTTGAAGTTAAATATATTAACCATCTTAACAAAGTAGCTTTTGATCTTATTTATTTACTACACATATATATGTATGTGTGTGTATGTGTGTACATATATAGTTATCCCCCCCAACTTAAGTGCTGGAGATTGAAGCTGGGACTCCATGTATGTTGGATATGTACTCTGTCAGTGAGCTATACCCAATCCCCCAATAAAATATTTAGTATCTGAGAAGTTCCAGGTACTCTCCTAGATTCTAGGATATAGGATGAACAGGACGGAGTCCCCTTCTCATAAACTTCAGAACAGCCATTTTGCACCTACGTGAATGACAATCCTCAGAGAAAAATGGTAACAGCTATTGAAAAGTGGAGACCCTCATATCTTCCTGCTGGAAACATTAAATGGTTGATTGCTTTGGAAAATAGCCTGGCAGATCCTCAAAAAGATTAGAGGTGAGTATGGTGGGCACACATTTTTAATCCAGAGATTAAATCTGGGAGACAGAGGTGGGAGACTGTGAGTTTAAGGCCAGCCAGGGCTACACAATAAGACACTGTCTCAAAAAATACAAATAAAAAGCTACAATATGACTAAGCCATTCCATTTATATATATATATATATATATATATATATATATATATATATATTTCTTTTTTATTTTTATTTTTTGGTTTTCAAGACAGAGATTGTCGGGTAGGTCTGACTGTCCCAAAACTAGTTCTGTAGACCAGGCTGGCCTCTCGAACTCAAAGCTTCATCTGCCTCTGCTTCCTGAGTGCTGGGATCAAAGGTATGCACCACTACACCTGGCTTTTAGGTCTATTATTAAGGAAATGAAACATACACCCACAAAAGAACTTATACAGGAACATGTATAGCCTCATTACTTGGTGTGTGTGTGTGTGTGTGTGTGTGTGTGTGTGTGTGTGTGTGTGTGTGTGTGCCTGTTTGAGTGTGGGGATACACAAGCATGTGGAGATCAGAGGTAGATATAGGGTGTCTGCCACAATCATTTCTCCACCTTGTTTTTTGAAATAGGCTCTTTACCAACCCTAAAGCTCACTGATTGGCTAGACTCCTTAGCCATCAAGCCCAAGGGGTCCGCCTGTTTCCACCTCCCCAGCACTGAGATTACAGATGCACACAGTTAGTTGTGCCTGGATTTGTAGGTGGGTGCTAGGGATCCTACTAGGTATGCAAGTGCTTTTTTTTTTTTTACTAACTAAGCTATCTTTCCAGACCTAGCTTTATTTTGTTTTATATTTTGGAGACCAAGTATTACATAGCCCAAGTTAGCTCTTTATTCCCTGTGTAGACAAGAATGATCTTGAATTTCTGATGCTCATGCCTCTACCTTCCAAGTACTAGGATTACAGACTTGTACCACCACACCAGGCTGCAACATTATTTGAAATAACTAAAAACTGGAAACAACTCAAATATTCATCAACAGATTAAAGCAATAATGGTTTCCACACAGTGAACTAATAGTCATAAAAAGGAATAAAGTGCCGATAGAGGCTATATGAATGACACTTGAAAACACAATAGTAGAGAGAAGTCATTCATTTAATAACTGCATTATTGTATAGTTGTATGATTCTACTTACATGAAATATCCATAGTAGACTAATCCATTGAAATAGATTAGGGTCACTAGGACCTGAAAGGAAGGATGAAGAGTGACTGTTAATCAGTTTCTTTTTGAAGTGATGAAAATGTTCTGGAATTAGAGTTGCATATCCTTGTGAATATACTAAAAACATCCATTGAATCACATATTTGTGAAGAGCAGTTTTATGTTACATAAAGTTTGCTATAATACTATATATCTGGACTGGGAATCTAGGTCAATGGTAGAGTGCTTGCCTAGTGTCTTAGTTAAGGTTTCCATTGCTGTGAAGAGACACCATGACCACAGCAACTCTTTTTTTTTTTTTTTTTTTTTTTTTTTTAAGGTTTTTATTTTGTTTGGTTTTTTTAGATTTATTTATTATGTATACAATGTTCTGTCTGCAGGCCAGAAGAGGGCACCAGATCTCATTACAGATGGTTGTGAGCCACCATGTGGTTGCTGGGAATTGAACTCAGGACCTCAGGAAGAGCAGCCAATGCTCTTAACCACTGAGCCATCTCTCCAGCAACCACAGCAACTCTTATAACAGAAAACATGTAATTGGGGCTGGCTTACAGTTTCAGTTCATCGTTATGGTGGAAAGCATGGCAGCATGCAGGTAGACATGGTGCTGGAGAAGGAGCTGAGAGTTTTACATCTTGATCTGCAGGTAGCTGGAAAAGTACTATGTGCCACTGAGCCTGGGCTTAAGCAGCTGAGACCTCAAAGCCCTCCTCCACACTGACACACTTCCTCCAACAAGGCCACACCTCCTAAGAGTGCCACTCCCTAGGGGCCAAGCATTCAAACACATGCATCTATGGGGGCTGCTCTTATTAAACCACCACACCTACCATGCATAAGCAAGGCTTTGGGTTCAATCCCAAGCACTCCTGAAGGGGATCCCAGAAGAAAGATGAAACAAGGGTGACTTTGATTTTTTTTTTTAAAGATTTATTTATTTATTATGTATACAGTATTCTGTCTGCATGTATGCCTGCAGGCCAGAAGAGGGCACCAGATCTCATTACAGATGGTTGTGAGCCACCATGTGGTTGCTGGGAATTGAACTCAGGACCTCTGGAAGAGCAGTTGGTGCTCTTAACTGCTGAGCCATCTCTCCAGCCCTGACTTTGATCTTCTGATCTTCCTGCCTGTACTTCCCAAGTGCTGGGATTACAAGTTTATCATTGATGATGTAATATAGATCAATCTAGAACAGTACTTGGCATGCACTGTCAGAAATATTTGCTATATGAATGATTATGTGTCATGAGAGAGAAAGCATTGCATTGATTAAAAGACAGACAGGTGAGCAGAAGAAGGGCAAAGAGTCTCAGTGGAGACATGAGAGATAAATTAGGAGGCTGAGGATGTAGCTCAGTTGATAGAGTACTTACTTAGCATGCATAGAGGCCTAGGTTCAATCCCTAGTATTGCATAATCTGGGCATGGTGGTGTATACCTATAAACTCAGCACACGAGAAGTAGAAGATCAAGAGGTCAATGTCATCCTCAGCTTTTAAGTAAATTTTCCATGTATTTTTCTCCAACCATGCCTTGAGGGAGGGGCTATCCCAAAGCTTGAAGGAACTGAGAAATTTGAACTTGTCCCCTTTTAAATTAAGACAAGTCCCCTCTTCCCCAACTAAAGATCTATGTGTTTCAGCAATACGTGAAGATATTTATGTATGTCTACATATATAAATTGGAGAGATACGTGAAGCAACATAGTGGTCCCCTTGGGAGAGAGACAGTGGCGGCCAGGGTATTCTGGGTGACAGAACAGAGAAAAACATTGTCCACATAATACATGTTTTAGTATTTTTTGTCTCTCTGCCATGTAGATTTTTTATTTAAACCTTTTTTAGATTTATGTGTGTAAATGTTTTGCCTGTGTGTACATATGTGCACCCCATGCATGCAGTGCCCACAGAGGTCAGAAGAGGGAGTCAGATCTGAAACTGGTTGGGAACCACCACCGTGCAAGGTGCTGGGAACTGAACTCGGGTCCTCTGATAGAGCAACGAGTGCTCTTAACCACTGAGCCATCTCTCCAGCACCTTATTTTTATTTGTAAAGCAGAATCTCACTGTGTAGTCCCCCAGCTAGATTTGAATTCTTGATCTTCCTACCTGTGCCTTCTGAGTGCCAAGGCTATAGGTGTTTACTGCCACACTCACTGTGCCATGTAAATGTAGATGGATAGACAGATGGATACATGCTGCATGTACACTAAAAGGTCCCAAAGCCAGTAGGAATAGAGCTGAGCTAGCTTCTGTGCTTTAAAGCGAATATGCTAATCATGAAATCTCCAGATGACAGTTCTGTTTGCTCTGTATGCTTTTAAACAAAATGACAAAGATTAGGATTGCTTCAAGCCATATTTCTTCTTGCAAATGAGCCATTTGGCCTGTAGTTTTATATTATATCTTACTGTTTATTAAAAGGCTGCTGCTCATAGGCTTGCCACCCAAACAGCTGAGCAAAGCCCTCTCTTTCTAGAACATACTAATGATATGCTTTGGTGCCCTTCTCAGAGACTGCCCTTGTCACCAGCCTGTACACGTACCCAAATGACAATTTTCTCTTGAAAGTGACATCACAATACGGAGCTGGGGTTCAGAAGCTTGAGTCCTCCTTTTACCTGGTAGTAGCCCATAACACTGCAGCAAGCAGGCATGCACCCAGTCCTAAAGTCTTAGAGGAGTTTCATGTTGTCATTTGTTGCAGCAAGAGTCCAGTGTGAGGGACTGGGGAGATGGATCAGTAGGTAAAGCATTTGCCATGCCAGCATGAGGAAAATTCGAAAGAAGAGTTTGGATTCTCAGTACCCATGTAAATGCCAGATGGGCATGCAACCTCCCTGTAATCCAAGCACATGGGAAGTAGAGACAGGGGATCCCCAGAGCAAGTTGGCTAACTAGATTAGCCAAAGTAGCAAGCTCTGGGTCCAAATGAGAGACCCTGCTTCAATACATAAGGTGGAGAGTAATGGAAAAAGACACCTGGTATAACCTCTCCTCTGGCCTCTAGTGAATATGTGCACATGCATTCCCATACATGTGTGCACATGCATTCCCATACATGTGTGCTCGAATGCACTGAACATGTAGACACATACATACACATCTATACCTACACAGAGTTCAGTGTGAGCCAGACTGGTGACACATGACTGTAATCCTAGCTACTTGAGAGGCTGAAATAAGGGAACTGGGAATTTAAGACCCATCTAGATTGTAGAATGAGTTCAAGACTAGCAGGGTAACTTAGCAAGAATCTGCCTAAAAAAAAGTAGGAAGGTTTGAGGCTATAGCTCAGTGGTCAGGCGCTTGTGTAGCCCAGGACCCTGGGCTGGATTCCTAGCACCACAGAGGGAAAAGGTTAATGGGTCTGGGAAAGGCAGCAAATTCTTTCCTATGTGTTCAGATGCTATGAGTGGAACAAGGATCCTCATGGGGACAAGAGACAAGTGGAGCCTCAGAACCTACCAATATTCTGTGACCCCCCCCCAAAATAACAGGAAAGTCCCTGTTTGAATTGGACCTCTATCTAGAAAAAAAAAAAGAAAAGATTTTTATTTTATTTATGTTTATACCATGTGTGTGGTGGTGCCTGGGTAGGCTAGAAGAGGGTGTCAGAACCCCTGGAGCTGCAGTTATAGGCAGTTGTGAGCTGCCCAGCATGGGTGGTGGGAACTAAACCTGTGTCCTCTTGGAAGAGCAGTAAGTGCTCTTAACCACTAGCTGTTGCTACAGGTCCTTGACTTCTACCTTCCATTTTTCTGTTTTATCTTTATGTTCTTACTGCTTATGGGTGAGCCGCTTCATGGCACTCTTTAGTGCAGCAAGGTTAATGAATATTGATTGACCCGCCTTCTATAACAGTCAGGAGAAAGCTGATAAAATAGGTATTGCAAAAGCCCACTGCAAATGTGGAAACGCGGGCAGCTATGCTGCGCAGCCTGTTCCAAACGTCTTAGGAAGTATACAAGAAGCCTGGGGCTTGCACAGTTCATACAATAAGGGAGATGGATTGTCAGGGCCAGCTCCTGGTTGGCAATGGGAAACTTCTCCCTGTTGCTATGAGTCAGAGGATGGAAGGGCTTCCCACCGCTTTGAGGGAGCCCCAGCATCTCTACTAGGAGAGACACAAGTCTTCCACTGAGAAACATTCTCTTGACCCCTCTCGGAGCCCTGTGTTTTTACTGTTTTGCTCGAAAAGAAAAAACTTGAGCAGAGAAGCAAGCAACCAAATATGCAAAGCCAGAAGGCTAAGCATGTGAGCACATCCTCAAATATTTGCTGATTGGAGAAGAGAGGGAAATTACTAGTGGGTCTCAGAGCAAGGGTCCAAGGTTTCCAGGTGTAAAAGGAATCGGCAGTAGCGGTGGGGAGCAGTGAGCTACCTCTACATCCTGCAGAAGAGGAAACAGGAGGCTAGAAAGAGAAGGGGTTGTCTTATATAATGCTGGTGGGAATGTAAACTAGTCCAGCCAGTATGGAAATCAGTATCGCAGTATTGCGGTTCCTCAAAACACCAAAAATAGATCTACCATGTGATCCAGCTATACCACTCCTGAGTATTTACCAAAAATATTCCCTGTCAATCTGTCACACAGGTACCAGCACACCAGTATTTACTGCAGCTCTAGTCACAGTACTAAGGTACGGAACCAACCCACCTTTCTTTAATTTTTTTAAAATTTGTACTTATTCAGTGTGTGTGTGTGTGTGTGTGTGTGTGTGTGTGTGTGTGTGTGTGTGTGTGTGTGCTTGTGTGGTGTCTGCCTGTGGGTTCAGGTGTCAGTGAAGGTCAAAGGCATTGTTGCCTCACCTGGGTGCTGGGAACCAAATGTGGGTCCTGGGCAAGAGCAGTGTGTGCTCTTAACCACTAAGCCACCTCGCCAGCACCCAGTGAAACAGAAAAACACAGCTGTGTTGAAATTTCATGGCTAGCTGCTGTTAAAAGCCAGCTGAGGTCCTTGATTTCCAGGTTGCCTGTGTATCTTGCTTTTCTTTGGATTGGCTAATTAAGTGGCCTTCTGGAAAGACAGGAAGGTGAGGGCCCTGTTGTGTGGTCAGTACATTGGGGTCTACGTGACATGGACCACCAACGTTCCCCGGCCTCTGCCACAGACAGGACACTCACCCGTGACTCTCAGATGGGCGCAGGAATGAAAACGCAGTCAGAGAGCCTTGGATTTTGCTTCAGAGTCCTCAGTCGTTGATGGCAGAGTCATGACATGACTTTGTGGGTGGGACATAGTGTGGGTGGAAGATGTTAAAGAAGGGCCCGAGGAGGCAATTGGGAAGGCACAAATGCTCCGCTTCCTTAACATTCTTTCTACCTGAAAGGAAGAAAGCCTTGAAGGAGGGAGCACGAGGGATCTCAGTTCCAAAGTTCTTTCTGTGCTCATGACACACGACATGCAGATTTTGAAGCCAGGTGTGGTAGCACCAGCCTGTTAGCCTGACACTTGAGAGGTGGAGGCAGGAGAATCAGAACAAAATCGTTTGCGCTACAGTGAGTTCCAGGCCAGCCTGGGCAACATGGAAACCTGTCTTTTAAAAAGAAAAGATTGGGAGACCTGGAGAAATGTGAGTGAAAGAGCTGAGAGTGGGTGACAAGGGTATTCCAGCACATTGCCAAGCTACGTGTGGACAGACAGAGCTTTGTAATATCTTTATCTTTATTCATCCCACAAACAAAATTTAAACAAGCAAAGCAGGGTCCTTCCTAATTAGTTCTTTACCTTTCGTGGGTGTAATTTCCCCTACAACCTGTCATGCTCTCTTAAGTACCAGTCATACCTGGCTGGTAATCATTCAGTTAGCAGTTATACAATATTTACTATTTCCAGCTAACAGGCAAGCAAGAATACATCATGTTAGGTAAATTAACGTATGCACTGATTCTGATGTGCTTTCATGAACAGACATAGAAAATGGTATTTTCCCAGGGTGTAGTGCAACATGCCGGTAATCCCAGTTGTTAGGAGGCTGAGGAAGGAGGATCACTATTTTGAGGCTAGACTGGTCTTTATCTTCAGATCAGTCTTGGTCATTTGTGACAGAGAGTTAGGGATGGGAGGGCTCTGGGCGACAGAAGAGAGGTAATTGGAGGAGGGTGGGAGCAGAGAGTAGAATAGTCTCCTGTTTGGGGGCAGGTCTTGCTGTGATGCAGAGGCTGGTCTAATTTCTGATCTAAGTGATCCTTACTATTTATTTATCTATCTATCTATCTATCTATCTATCTATCTATCTATTTATTTATTTATTTATTTTTTGGTTTTCAAGGCAGGGTTTCTCTGTGTAGCTTTGCGCCTTTCCTGGAACTCACTTTGTAGACCAGGCTGGCCTTGAACTCACAGAGATCCGCCTGCCTCTGCCTCCCGAGTGCTGGGATTAAAGGCGTGCACCACCACCGCCCGGCTATTTATTTATTTTTTGAGACAGAGTTTTACTGTGTAGCCCTGGCTGTCCTGGAATTCACTCTATTGATCAGGCTGGCCTCAAATTCACAGAGATCCATCTGCCTCTGCCTCCTGAATGCTGGGATTAAAGGCATGCGCCACCTGGCCTGAATTTTTTAAGATTTTTTATTTTTATTTATGTGTATGTGTGTGTGTGCCACATGTATGCAGGTCCTCACTAAAGCCAGAAGAAGGCATCAGATCCCTTAGGGCTGAAGTTACACGCTATTGTGAGCAGCCCACTCTGGTGTTGGGAAATGAACTCCAGAACCCCGGAAGAGCAGCAAGTACTTTAACTCATGACCCATCTCTCCAGACCCCTGATGATCCTGTTTTGATAGTGTACCCTGAGTTCTGGGACTGACTTGAACTTGACCTTACAGTTCACTCTAGGAGTTTTTCTTTAATATATGTATGTGTTTCCTGGTATGAGTATCTTGGTATATGTGTTTGTACTCACTCATGTAGTTGCTTCTGTACTTGGGGAGACCAGAAGAAGGCACCAAGTTTCCTCCACCTATTGTTTTGAGGCAGGGTCTCTCTCTGAACCTAGGGCTCATGTTTTCTCAGCTAGGATGAATGCCAGCAAACTCCAGTGGTCCTCCTGTTCTGTCTCCACCCAACTAGGATCTGGTGTTACAGGTGCACACTGGAGCCTAGATTTGTTACATAGTCCTGAGATCCAAATTCTGCTCCTCATGATTTCAAAGCAAGTGTTCTTAAACACTGGGCCATCTTTTTCTTGTGGAATAGTCCTTTACGCTGTGTGAATATATGTTGCTGTGATTGGTTGAGTAAAGAAGCTGACTGGCCAATAGCTGAACAGGATAAAGTTAGGTGGGATAGCCAAACTGAGAATGATGGGAAAAAGAAAGGCAGAGTCAGGGGAGTTGCCAGCAGATGCAGAGAGAAGCAAGATGGGCATGCTGTACTGAGAAAATGTACCAAGCCACATGGCAAAGCATAGATAAGAAATATGGGTTAATTAAATGTAAGAGTTAGCTAGTAACAAGCCTGAGCTATTGGCCAAGCATTTATAATTAATATTAAGCCTCTGTGTGGTTACTTGGGAGTGGCTTGCAGGACAGAAACTTTCACCTACACTCTCTAGGCCTCTAGTTGTTTTTTGTTTTTGTTCTTTTAAAGAGCTTCAGTGTGTGAGAGAAACCTGATGGGTGGATGGGAAAGAAAGCATTCAGGAAAATTACTGAAAATCCTATGTTTTCTCCTAGATGTACAGAATTGCACAGGGATAGAGAGAAGCTCATCTGTATACTGCTCTTGTAGAGGACCTGAGTTCCATTCCCAGGACTCATATCAAGAGGATCACCAAGTACCTGTAACTCCAGCTCCAGGGTATCTGATGTTCTCTTCTGGCCTTCTTAGGCAACTGCACTCATCTGTATATTACCTCCCCCCACCACACACATACCCTCCTTCCTACACACCACACACACACACACACACACACACACACACACACACACACACACACTAAATAAAATAAAACTTTTAAAAGTCACACATGAAGGGCTTGAGCAGTTTTGAAGTTACTTTTGGTTGCACAGAAGGTCCTTCCAACCTACAAAGTTGTCTGGGATCATGACCATCTGCTGCTTGCATTCATTCAGGGCAAATATTCACGGAGCAGCGTGTACATGTGGTAACGAGCAGGACCCAACAAAATGGACCAGGGTCCTGTTCTGAAGCTCTGAATAAATATTAAATAAATAATTATTGAATTAAAAAGCAATGTGTACTTTGAAATATAGAAGTATAGTACCACAAGGGAGTTAAATTGGAGAACAGCCTTATATCTTTGGAACACAACTCACTCTTCACACTTCAAGGTCTTTGTTCACACTCTTTCTTTTATTTATTTATTTATTTATTTATGTATTTATGTTTTGTTTTGTTTTGTGAGACAGGGTTTCTCTGCATAGCTCTGGCTGGCCTGGAACTCACTCTATAGACCAGACTGGCATAAACTCAGAGATCTGCCTGCCTCTGCCTCCTGAGTGCTGGGATTAAGGTGCACGCTGCCGCTGCCACCACCACCACCAGGCACTTTGTTCACACTCTTAATGAAGTATTTTTCCTTTTTGATAGTGTACCCTATCAAACTCTTAATATACTGAAACACTCAAATGTCACCTTCAAGGTGTCATTTCAGGTCCTTAATTTAGGTTATTCCATCCTGACACATTGCTTGCAAGTCTATTATAATATGCAATTCATTCTGCCAAGTATCTACCTGCTGTGTAGGGACCAACTGTTCCAGGTTTCTGGTACTGAAGGATTTTCTGGGATGTTAAGAGTTTTTGTTGGATAGAGTGCTAAAACCTGGACTGTTCCAGGCAGACAACAGTGAAATGATAGTCATCCTAACCTACAGACAAGTTTGTCTCCTCTTTAACAACCAGTATTCCAGAGGGAAAGGAGTTCACATCTTCCCTCCATTCATGCAATGACTTGCACATAGAAATACTGGTAATAGGGGCTGGAGAGATGGCTCAGTGGTTAAGAGCACTGAAATAGCTTGCAACTGTCTGTAACCCCAAGATCTGACACCCTCACCCAGACATACATGCTGGCAAAACACCAATGCACACAAAATAAAAAAAATCCTGCTAATAGTGAGAATAATTGTTTATACTTGAGCCTTTACAACACGTCAGGTTCTGTGCTTGGATTCTTACAACAACTAAATAAGACAAGCCATTTCCACTTCTGCAGAGAAAGTGATGCTAAGCCAGTTAACCTAGGATTTTGAAAGGTGGGACTGAAGAGAAGTCAACTGTTATCTATTATGCTAAACTTCTTGATTATTTTTTATTTCACCCTCAAAAATTATCTAAGATTTCAAAAACCACCGTTTGTGTGAATTAATGTATTGATAGTAGCTATTAGAAATTAAAGTCGTGGCCGGGCGGTGGTGGCGCACGCCTTTAATCCCAGCACTCGGGAGGCAGAGGCAGGCGGATCTCTGTGAGTTCCAGGAAAGGCGCAAAGCTACACAGAGAAACCCTGTCTCGAAAAACCAAAAAAGAAAGAAAGAAATTAAAGTCATGAATAAAAAAAATAACGGTTAAATATCAACTCTCATTAATGTTAATTACACATCTTTTCTCTGTGTAACACTGGCTGTCCTGGCACTCTGCTTTGTAGACCAGGCTAGCCTCAAACTCGAAGTTCTGCCTGCCTCTGCTTCCTGAGTGCTGGGACTAAAGGCATGCACCAACACCGCCCGGCTTAATTACACATATTAAGTGAAGAAAAACAAAACAAAACAAACAAAAACCCAACAACTACACTTTGCAAAACTTAAAAGATGTTATCGAACAGTGGCAAGTCGTTTAACATTCGGCTTAAATCTGGGTACATTCCCTCTATTGGTTATGTACTGCACAATAGGGAACACTCTGGCACACTGGTGAGAGAAAGTGAAAGTAACCTGTTAATAGGATTATGAGATTGTTTTACCTTTGGGGACTTGCCTCCCCACCCCCAATGTGTCGCAGAGACCCTCAGGAGCCCCTGAACACTTAAGAGGACCCGCGGTACAGTACGAAACAATAAAATGTGTGCTTAAATTTTTCATATCCTTGATGACAGGCATCAGAAGAGGTGTTTTCTTTAGGTACCGATGTCGGTTTTGTTTATAGGGTGTGTGTAGAAGAATACGGGAACATCAACCAACCAGAAAGAAGACAGAGTACAACTGGCATCTGCCCTCTAACCTCTGGCTCTTCCCGGGTCACCGATGCTGTGAGGACCCTGGACTACAATTCCCGGCAGAGCTCACGGTAAAGGGGCGTGTCAGCGGCCGCGCAGGGCCCGGGTGACTCCTACTGATGACGGAATGAAGGGGGCGTTCCTGTTGGGAGGGGGCAGGCGAGGTTCGCCGTTGGGGGAAGAAAGCATAAGGGGCGGGGTTTATCATTGGGTTAGCCAATGAGTTGCGGTCAAGCGGAAGGCGGGGAAATGGGCGTGGTTGGATTTATTGCTAAAACGTTGTTGCGCTTACTAGCCCGGGAAGTATCAGGGTTTGGAGTTGGGGGTCGCCGACAGGCACCCCCACGGTCGGAATAAGGAGATGGCAGCGCGCTGGAGTAGCGAGAACGTGGTGGTGGAATTTCGGGACTCTCAGGTGAGCTGTGCGTGAATGGAGCTGCCTGGGCATGCGCCTTCAGTAGCTTTCCCTTCCCCCCCACCTTACGCCGTCCCATCCATCCCCTTGCCCAGGATGGGGAGATGGACATGGTACTGACCTGGAGCTCTCCGAGTCAGAGAGCCCAGAGGAGCTTTGATACCTGCGCAGGACAGCTGCGACAGGCGTGTACGGGGTTTTAGGGTTCCACACGGGCTTATGGGTCTTGGGACACCGAGGCAGTAAGTGCTGAAGGGATTCTTCCCTTGTTTAAGGTAGTGAACTGGGAGGTGTCCACTCCCTGAGGCGGTCGGCTGCACTTGGTTACTTAGGGAAAGTTGCAGAACTTCTCTGAGCCCCAGGTAGTTGGACCAACCTCACCCTGTAACATTTTTGGGGTGAATTTGTGAAATACTGCTTTGCAGAGCCTCTGTTTTAGCCCCCGACCTAAGTAGTTGCTAATGTGGAAGATACTCTGTCATTGGCAATACACATGTATTGCTTAGATTGGACACCTGTGTGGCCCACCCTGACATCACTCTTTACCATCAGTTTTCTTACCTGTAGAAGGGAGGTCATTATACTTAGAGGACTGGCGTGAGAATTTTATGAGGCTACATGTTTTAAGATGTGTGGCACAGTAGTGGGCATGTGGCAGGCCTCAAAAGTTGTTAACATTGGGGGCCGGCAAGGTGACTCAGCTGGTAAAGGCACTTCCAAGCCTGCCAATCTGAGTTCAGTCCCCAGGACCCACGTATCAGAAAGCGAGAACCAGCTCCCGTAAGTTGTCCTCTTCCTTCCATACACATGCTGTGGCACACCCATACATAGTAAATAAATAAACATAATAAAAAGTATATCTTAAAAAAAATGTTAGCATGAGCCTTGGAAATGTCTCAGGTAGTGGCTGTGCCAACAGGCCTGAAGACCTGAATTCTATTCCCAGGACCCACGTGGTGGAAGGACAGAGCCAGCTCCCAAAAAGTTGTTCATTGACCTCTACACGTATGATGAGGCATGTGTGCTCACACTCACATACACACAAAATAAATGAAAAAAAAGACTAATTTAAAAATTAAACAAAAGGCCAGGCAGTGATGTTGCTCCCCTTTAATCCCAGTACTGGGGAGGCAGAGGCAGGAGGATCTCTGAGTTCGAGGCCAGCCTGGTCTACAGAGTGAGTTCCAGGACAGCCAGGACTACACAGAGAAACCCTGCCTTGGAAAAAAACCAAAACAACAACAAAAAAGTTTGCATTGTCTGAATAGCTTTTTTTTTTAATCATTTTTCTTTTCTTTGTTTAAATAAAAAAAATCTTCTTATTATAGTGAGTGTATGATGCGCGTGAGTGTGGGTGCATAGAGATCAGAGGGCAGCCCTTGGGAGTCGTTCTCTTCTACTGTGGGATTTGAGTATCCAGCTCAGGTCAAGAGCCATGTCTAGCCAGAATCTTTATCCTATGGGCTATCTTGAAGGCACCCATTTAAAATGTTAGGTATATGGTTGTTTTGCCTGGATGTTTGTATGTGCACCATTTTGGTATCTGGTGACTGCAGAGGCCAGAAGAGGACATGGAGTTGCAAACAGCATGGGCTTCCATGTGGGTTCTGGGTATCTAACCTGTGTTCTCTGGAAGAGGAGGAACCAGTACTTTTGACCACTGGGCCATCTCTCCAGCCATCCCTACCCCCCCCCCCCTTTTTTTTTTTTTTTTTTTTGAGACAGGTCTCATGTGTAACCTCGGTTGCCCTGGTACTCATGTAGACCAGGCTGGCTTCAGAATCACTGAGATCCTCCTGCCTCTGTCTCCCAAGGCCTGGGATTAAAGGTGTGCACTACCATACCTGGCCTCTTTTTTTTTTTTTTTTTGGTTTTTCGAGACAGGGTTTCTCTGTGTAGCTTTGTGCCTTTCCTGGTACTCGCTTTGGAGACCAGGCTGGCCTCGAACTCACAGAGATCCGCCTGGCTCTGCCTCCCGAGTGCTGGAATTAAAGGCGTGCGCCACCACCGCCCGGCTTTTTTTTTTTTTTTTTTTTTTTTTTTTTTTTTTAAGACAGAGTTTCATGTACCTACCCCAGGCTGACTTTGAGGTTGATATGTAGCTGAGAATGACCTTGAACTTCTGATCCTCCTGCCTGTACCTCCTGCATGTTGAGACCATTGGTGTGCACTACCACACATAGTTTTATGCAGCACTCGGGGTTTTGTGCATGCTAGGCAAGCACAATACTAACTGAGCTACATCCCTGTAGCTTTATCATTTTTCTATACTGAGTCTTCCATATGCCAAGCTTTGTGTTAGGCAGTTTCTCTACCTATTCTTTTTCTACTTAACGAAAGAGCCATGCAGGCTAAGTAGGTATTATCCTTTTATACCAAAAGGTGAAACTGACCCCTGTTTGGCTGATAGTGAGAGACTTGGCTAAGGCCTCCTGTACGTGGCTGATGGCATTGGAATTTGGACAGTCTCTGACTTCAGAGCCCATTGTATTATTTCATCTCTTAACAGCTTGTAATGTGTCACACATAGATCCGTAATAAATACATCTCCCTTTCCTGATACCTAGGACATTTCTTGGCACTTTCTTTTTTATTTATTCAACAAATGTTATTGAATACTCTCTTATATTTTTGGTTGTAATCCTAACCTAAGGCTGAGCCATCTCTCTAGCCCTGAATACTTCCCGTGTTTCATACTTATTCACTTGTTTATTTAATGAGGATTGATTGTGCATGCAGGTGGAGGCCCAAGGTTGATGTCAGGAATCGTCCTGATTGCTTTTCCACATTATTCATTGAGACAGGGTCTCTCAATGAAGTCCAGAGCTTGCCAGTGTGGCTACCCTTGCTCTGGGGGTCCTCTAGCTTAGCCTTCCAAGGCTAGAATTAGAGGCAGGCTACCGTACCCATCCCATGTTTATGTGGGTTTCTGGGGATCTGAACCTTGGTCCTCATGATTGCAAGCAAGTGTTTTAACTGCTTAGCCATTCCCCCAGCGCCACCCCCTTTTAAAAATAAGGATTTATTGAGCTCCTACTGGGTGCATATTGTGCTAGGCACAGTGTTGATCTACAGTTGGTTTACACTGAGGGAAGTCTAGATCACAGTAAGTGAGTGATGTGAGTCATCTTAAAACCCCGTCCTGTCTTTTGCCGTGAGGATTAATATGTGAAGGAGCCGCCCACCACTCTGCTTCCTGGTGCCCTCTGATAAGTAGTTGCCGTGGCGAGTTTGACCAGCAGCTTTTTGGACTGAGGGATCTTGAAACCCTTGGTGCTGTCAGAATTGTCAGTGTGAGGCCTGCTTTCCCGAGGGAGGTGCCGGAGTCTTAGGGAAAAGCATTGCCGTTACCCTTCTTGTTAATTGCTTTCACCAGGAATCAGGACAGAACTGAGCAAGTATCATGTGTCTAAGCCTGCTAATTTGGAAGATGCTAATCTAGAAATCTTGAATTCTCACAGAAACCCAGGAAGTCTCACTCCTGTTTCTTTATAGAGATGTAACCGAAGAGACCTGCAGAGAAGGTGCTGACACCTAGGTTGGAGTGCTATGAAGTAGGAGCAAATAATTAAGCCTAAGCAGCAGTTGGCATGGCAGGAGAATAAAGGAAATTGGGTAATTTAACTGCCTTGTGGGAGTTTCTGTTTTTCCTTCGGATTTTTCTATTTAGTTGAAAGGGTGTATCTATAGTATGAATTTGCCTATTTTTTTTTTTCTGATGCTGATTGGCAAGAGGCAGAAACCCATTTTTATTAATTTTCTACTACATAGAAAGAAAAAGTCAATACTTCATGTTGCCTTACTGAAAAAGATGGCCAGAATAGTAAACCTCTCAAAATGCTCCACATTCTTTTTGTTTGTTTGCTTGTTTTTTCTTTTTGAGGCAGAATTTCTCTATGTAACCACCCTGGCTGTCCTGGGGCTCCCTCTGTAGTCCAGGCTGGCCTCAAACTCACAGAGATCTGCCTGCCTCTGCCTCCCAAGTGCTGGGATCAAAGGTGTGCGCCACTGTTACTACCACCTGGTACCATATTCTTATTTTATATTCTAAAAAATAATTTTAGTAGGCTGTGGTGGTTTGAATGAGAATGACTCCCAGACTTATATGTTTGAATGCTTGGTCCCCAGTTGGTGGAACTGTTTGGAAAGGATTAGGATGTGTGGCCTTGGAGGAAGTGTGTCACTGTGGGCCAGCCTTGAGGTTTCAAAAGCCCATGTCATTTCCAGTTAGCTTTCTCTGCCTCCTGCTTGTGGTTTAAGATGTAAGCTTTCACCAGTCTGTGGTGGCACATACCTTTAATCCCAGCACTGTGGAGGCAGAGGCAGGTGGATCTCTGTGAGCTCAAGGCTAGCTTGGTCTACAGAGCGAGTTCCAGGACAGCCAGGGCTGCACAGACAAAGCCTGTCTTGAACCTACTCTTCCACCCCCAAAGATGTGAGCTCTCAGCTACTGTTATAGCACCATGCCTGCTTGCCTGTTGCCACACTCCCTGCCATGATGGTCATGGACTCTAGCCCTCTGAAATCATAAGCCCCAAATGAAATGCTTTCTCTTATAAATTGCCTGGGTCATGGTGTTTTGTCACAGTGATTGAAAAGTAACTAAGACACAGGCCAAAGAGTTTGCTGTCAAGGTGATGACCTGAATTTG